ATGTAATTGATGATAGGAAATGTTCATCTTGTTTCTGATCTAAATAAAGATGTCTTTAGTATTTCATCAATTAGTGTATGTTTGCTTTCATTTGGGGGGATAACTACTGCATTTTAATAGTTTCCTTTTATTCTGTTAAGTTTTTTAAAATCAAATGCTTTATTTATAAATGTATTTTTGCTTCTAATAGTACAATAATCTGAGGTTTCCTTTAGTAATGAATATGTTAGCAGACTTCAGGTATAATTAACAGTAATTATATAATTTTTTGATACATCTCACTGGGTTAGATTTTCTTTAAGTTATAATTATTTGCAACTATTTTTAATTAGTGAAATTGACATATTTTCTCTTTGGAGTTTCTATCTGATTTCTGTCTTAGGTTTTAAAAGTTTCATATTAATATACTCAATGTTAAATTTTAATAGTTTGAGACTGTACTGTCCAACATAATAGCTACCAGCCACATACGGCAATTTAACTTATATTAATTTTTTAAAAATAGAACATTAAATTCCTCAGTCCCCAGCCACTTTTAATTGCTGAATTACTAGCATATTGTATGGCACATATGTCACACCCAAAACAGAAAAATCTCTTTCTCTTTCTCGGCTTTAAAATTCTAAGATATTTTTTTCCCCATTCCTGTTTGCAGTGTTATTGAAACTACCCAAGTCATAAAGGTCCACATCACATTCTTAAAGAACTAAGAAAATACTAAATCAAACCTTTTTTCACCCCTCTCAAACAAGAAGCAATCATCATACAAATGAACCTGATTTTTTATACAAGAAAGAAAAAAAAGTCCTTTAATCTACTAGCTACAAAGCAATCTTTGTACAGTAAGTAATGTATAATACTAAAACAACAACAACAAAAAAACTTTTATGCAAAAAGTACCTACATAAAGGAACAATGACAGACCCATCATTAAGTTTTAAATTCTTTTTCATTCCCTGGCATAGTATTTTGTTCTAGAGGGAAATTTGACCTCTAGTTTTATTATAAATAACAGATATAGATATGGGGGAAAAAACCGAGCTGACATTCCAGTAACTTCATCTTTTTCAAGCCAAGAAAAGTTAAAATTCAAAAGAATTCTTTTAGAAAATAAGCTTATTTTTAAATTCTCCTTTATTAAAATTCTGATGTATTGCCATCAAATAAGCCAATTTTAGAAAATCAGAAGAATACCTGCAGATAGTTCCCATAGCCTTTGTTAAAAGCAAACAAGTACCAGCTTTTATGTTTTCAGACCACTTCTGTTAAAAGGTTTCTTTTTACACTTCAAAATACTGTTTTTAAATAAAACTCTTCCTGTTCTCTAATCTGTATACCACTGAAAATTTGTTTCCAAATAGTTTATAAAGATAGTGAACAAAAAATTTTCCCTTTTTATTTTTAATCACAACTGCCTTTGAAAATGATTTAGTATCAATTTAAGCCTGCTAGTAAGAGCTTTATTTTTATTAATTTTGATTAAAACTGCTACTGTTATAGGTGTTCAAAATGTGAAATACAAGTCTTTTTTCTAGACAAATGAATTGATTCACATTTCATAATATTTCTTTGTTTGCAGTTCTTTAAAACATTATCTTGCCAGGAACGAAAAATTCTAGTAACTTAGTTTTAATATTCCTTTCACACTTTCGCATTCTCAGAAATTCAGCTATTGTTAAAGATCAAAGCTGACAAGACTATGTCAGATGTCAAAAATTATTTGTTCAGTATTTTAAATCTATTAACTCAGAATGTCTATCTACATAAGATATCAAATAAAAGTTCCTAATTTTAATCTGTTTCTGTTTGATACAATAATGTATATCACATACAATTCCATTCGTATTGGCTAAAGGAGAGAAGTTAGAGTGGGAGGAAAGAAAATAGTATTTAAACAATAGAATTGAATACTAGCCCTTGTGTGAAAATCTTGGTAAGATATTTACTGTTACTGAAAGCTTCATTTACCTCCAGCTCAGTAAATGACTTACCTCCTAAAGGAGTGGGTTTATGTCAAATCAAAATTATTTATTTTGGTGTTTCTTTCCCTTTTTTGAAATTTTATGTTGTTCCATTTGGTTAACATGTGCTTCTTCCAGATGCCCTGTTTATATCAGAAATAAAGGGAGCTGCTCTGCAAGGGTCTCCCTCTTGGGAGGTAAATGAAATAACTCACAAGTGCCTAATTTAGGTTTTCTTTGGGAAAAATGTTTTGTGGCCCAAGATAATCAGAGGGCATAATATTACCGATTTGGTATAACCTTGCTCATTTTGGGGAGATAATTAACAAAATTCAATCTTTCTAACATATATTGCCTATTCTGTACTAGATGCTGAGTGCTGTGGAAGATACAAAGATATGATATATGGTTCCTGTAGCCCCAAGGACATTTACAAATATCTAACATGCAGCAGGAAATTACACATATCCCAAGAACTATGAGTTTAGGAGAGATACATCCAGCTACATTTGGAGCTGGGGTAGGGGGGTTGGGAGGGGGGAGTTGGTTAGCTTAGTAATAACTTCATAAAGGACATGTGTAGATAGGACAGGGCAGGGATTCTTAGAAAGAAAAGAACAGAGAAACTGTAAGTCTCAGAGCATGTTTCACTTCTTTAGAGCACAGAGCAGACAGAAAAGGTTTATTTAACATTAGCTAAAGTTGAAATACTGTGACTACCAGTGTAATAATTAATAATCAAATAGGCTAAGCCTAACACACCAATATTTTACCTCTAAAGCAAATCATTCAGTCTAACCATAAGAAATTTATGCACAAAGAAAACTCACAAACAGAAGTGAAATTACTGATATGGGCTGAACAGTAACATGCACATACACACCCCCCCATACAGAAAAAAAGAATTCTTTCTTGTTTGTTTCCTAGTCACAGTCAGGTGTGGGGAAAATGTTCATTTAAACTACAGCTTCATCAGTTTACAGCTATCACAGAGTCCTTTTAGGCCGCCAGTATAATGCTATAGGGTGAATCCCTGGCATTTTGTTCTAAAACCCACAAATGAGGCGGTAATGTGACCAGCTGCAGCTCCCTTCCTGCATTTCAGAAGCTCTGGGTGTCCACACACTTGCAGCTCTGTATAACTTCACACAAAAGACTGGCAAGTGGCCAAGAAGCCTCCGCCATGGTGTATATTCCCCAGGGTTCAAGATCCGCCATTTAATTCCAATTCAGCCATAAAATGACATGTACTTTAGCACACTATCCCCATATAAGACAAATTAAATGCAAATTCTATTTAATAAATAGGAAGGTATTCCCCCCAAATGCAATATATAAAGACACTAAGTATATAACCTGTATTTTTAAAGAGACCTAGCATCATAACTCCACTCTATTAACATAATTCTAAAATAATTCTTAAAATTTTCTCAGATTATTATTTCCTTATAATCTTACCAAAAGCAAGAAAACCCACCAGACACAGAGATTTAACATATTTCTAAACTTCTCCATTAAGCTTTGATGCACATTGCTAACTAAATAAATATCTTAACATCTGGTACAGGGAAGCTGACATGACCTACAACAATGAATGTGAGATACCCCAAGGATGATCTTATTTTCTGCTGTCTTACAACCTTAAAGAAACACATGATTCTGGCAATTAGGCAGCTACATCATTCTTCCATGTAAATTTCCTGAGGGAAAGGAAGGAAACTAATGAAAACAGCTTGGCTAATGCTTACCTTTGTGGAAAGGAGTGTTTTACAAAAGCCAATAACAATAAACTGAGCACTAGCCCTTGGTGAAAATCTTAGGAAGGTTTTCATTTTCATCTACCTCTAGCTTCGCTCTCTTCCAGGTCTGGACATATTCCACACAAAGGACCAGCGATATGTTAATGATCTGAATGACTACACCATAAGATGTTTTATTCAAAAACTACAATTTAATGTTAAACCTATCAAAATTTAAAAAACTTAGGGAGCCAACAGACCTTTTTTTCTTCTTTTTGATGGACACCTTTCTACAACACAATTATCAATTAAAGATAATGTAGAAAGGATGGGCACACAACTTCGGTAGAAAGTATGAATCAAACATGGTATTTGAACCCTAAATCCCCATTCCTGCCTAGTACAGTCTTTACGTGACAGGTAAGGGCTATATAGCAAAAGCAAACAAAGAAACCCTCCAAAGAAATCCTTTAAATGGCATTTTATCCCTTCAATGTCAAAAACCTTTCGAATTGAATAAATTGATTAAAACAAGTACAGAATTATTCATCATAATTTACCAGTCAAGAAAAGAAACTTGTTTCATACCAAAGCTAAAACTGCAAAATACACCAACTTTCTGAGCATATCAAATGGATATGGATTGTTAAACATCACTGTAACCTAAATAACCTAGATCTAAATAGTAGTAAAAGTAGATATTTGACTTCACTGTTATTTATATGGAACATATTATATTATGAAGAGAGAATGGGGCCTCCAATCTCCTCCTAAAGGATGTGATATTTTAAAAAAGAGCCACTCACAAAATTTCTGACATTTATTTACAAAGGAGTATGAGAATGAAACTGTGCTGGGAAAGGGGAGACTGTAACAGAATTTTTTAAACAAAGAAGTTAAATTTTTAAGATTATGTGACAAAATGTTAACTTGTACAGTAGAAACAGGTTTTTGTTATATTCTTCCATTAAAAACAAGAAAAAAAGGAATTATAATGAACAACAATGAAGAAATAGATACTTTTCATTTTCCTGAAGCTTACTGAGATGGACAAGTAATTGGAGGAGGGAAAGAAAAGGAGATCTAGAAGTTGAAAGGAACAATTGAATGTAAAATCTGAATGAATAGGACAGGCATTCCTGATGGCTCCATCCCCTGTGAACCCTAACAGAACTAAAAGGAGGTAATTGGCAATAGCAACTGGCTTAGAGATTGGTGGGGGAGGGGAGCAAGGAAAATTAGAAAACACTTGTACACTCATAGTAAGGAATATCATTTCCAGGAAAATATTAATACTTACCAGTATGTACTGTAGCTACTACAATCCATACACACTGTATGCTGAGCTTTATCTTGTTTTTCAGATTTCTTATGGTTGGTTAAGGGTACTTGTGCATCTTCATAATGTTTTTTTGCATGGCCATTCACATACCTTACAAAAAACAAAAGAAAATTTATTTTAATCTAAATATTGCTTTGGAAATTAAAGTAGTAGGAGATGATGATATTGTAAAATTAGATGGTAAACAAATCAAAATGAGAAAGAATTCCTCCTTATAAGAACATTCAATCATTTAGTGATTTATTAAGCTGAGTATTTAAAATATGCTACTTTTTCTACAATCAAGTATGACAGTCAGCTTTTAATTACATTATATACAAGACTAAGGTCAGGCAAGGAAAGGAATTACCTATGCAAACCAGTTTCAGTATTATTGATATTATCATTTATCAACTCCTTTACTAAGGCTTTTGCTATAGCTATTCTTTAAGAGCTTTTTCTCAGACTGCTAACCCCCTAACTCAGGTTATTATTAAAGATGAGCTTTGTAACCTACATTACTCAATCACTTCCCAAAGTGCCATAGGCTCTGCTTGGGTGTCTGCTTAGTATAAGAGAAAGTCAGATATGGAAACAGGATAATTTTCCATCTCTTTCTCATCAATATGACTTCAGATCTTTCATTCAAACACCTGAATAATCAGCTCCACTCATATGGAAACACATTTGTTTAGAAACCATCTAAAAAACCCCCAATCATCTTAAGCTTACATAAACTGATATATCTCTACATGGACAAGATAATCAAAGGATGACTATAGTCATAAAAATTTTGTAATGCTTTCTAGTTCAGGTTTAATAAATCATTGTATTACAGGAAACTGAATGAAACATTTTAAAATAAGTGTTCATATGCACATAGTATGCACCCAAATTCCTCTACACTTTTACCTACATACTGTACAATGTTGTAACTAACCATGACTGTGAAGACCCTTATAAAACAAAATCCCTCAGGTCCTAAAAGGCAGCCAATTCATATTAGGCAATGCCTAGTTCAAAGCCTTAAACAGAACAAATATTGGTTAAATAGTACCAAAATAAATATGCTGAGTGTTAAGGTGACATTTCTGTCATGAAGCACCTTAATTGTACCAGGAGCAACACTTACCTTGTGGTAAGCAGTGGGGACCAAGGTCAAGCCCAGCCTCTCTACCCCACAAAGCTGTAAGTGACAGAAGTACTACTAACTTCAATTCAGAATTTTATCACATTGTTTTTCCATTTTTTCACTGAAGTAAAACATAACCAACAATTGTGTGTACATAGGTCCTCTGTCCACAAAAGTGAACGATATAAAATGAATTTTAAAATTAAATAATGGTTGAGAGTATAAACTCAAAAACTAGACTGGGTTCAAAAGTAGGCTTTGTCACATGCTGGCCATGTGAGCTTGGGTCAGTCACTTAACCTCTTTATACTTATGTTTCTCATCATATAATGGAGATAATAGTACTCATAAACTGTTAGGTGATTAAATAATCCATGACTCAGAGTACATGTTATTCTGCACATGAATAAATGAATATTAGCGATTATTTTATTTGTATTTTACTTTATATGCTTAACCACTTTTACTCAGAATCCATGCAGCAACAATGGTTTAGAAAGTGGTCATATTAATCACATACTCTGACATGACACACTGCATAGGTCAAGAAACACTCAATATTTAATTAAAAAGGTAAACTCCATGGTATAATATAGGTTTAATAACTAACCAACTCAATTTCCTTTTCTTAATATACATTTATTCTGTGCAATGAAAAGGAAGAGTAATATTTATAATGAGGTGTATCTTTGGGATCAAAGAAAAAGCAACACTGAACAACAATAAAGGCACTATTACTTTCAAGTCATTGAAAACTGACTATCTGTATGTAGTACACAAAGTTAATTTAGCCACTACACTATAGTCTCCAAATATACTAGATTTTTAAGTGGTTACTGTAAATGTCAGTGATAAAATAAGAGTATTACTGCTAATATTAGGATTAGCAATATTTTGGCTAATACTCAAATTCATCAGTCGGAAGTTAACAATTTTGTATAAAAGTGGCTAACATAAAAATAAATATTTCCCTCTTCTAGTTTTGTGTTTTAACGAGACAATTTGGTCTAAAAAGGAAAAGTGTTGATAATATGTCACACATTTCTAACAACAGTCACAAACATTTTATAAACAAATGGGGTGGTATTATGAAGACCAATAGAATATCCTACTAGTAAACTGTTTCCTAGTTGAAAGAATATTCAACTTAAGATTTCCCTACAGACAAGTAGTCTAAAATTACTTTAAAATCAGAATCCTTGGCAATCAACACCCAGGATTAAATAAGAAAAGAAAATTAACCAATCAGCTATGTAAAATGACGATCCAAAGGCAGGCTACTCTCAGCTGTTTAATCTACTTAGTTATATTTTTTTCTGAAACTATGTCAAATGTCTAAATTTAAGATTGTTTGCAATTAGAAACAGACTACCTGCATAGTCTAGAAAAATTTCCATTTATTTTTCCAAAACCTGGTTAGAGAATTGTTTATTGCTTGTTATTAAGAACACTAATCTCTCCAATTTTTGAATCCATGAGGTCTTTTTGTTGGCATATGACCTTCAAGATTTAGACTGTAGAGCACTATGAGACAACTGGACAACAGAACTATAAATATTTTATTGCATTATAATTCTCACCTCTCAAAATCTAGGAGAGGAATCTGTCTCTTCAAGTGCAGAATTTAAGTGCTTCTACTTTTCTTCTTTTTTTAAAAAAAAAATGTTATCTGTATAAAGTATTTTCAGGTTTCCCAAATCCTAGAGATTTCAAAACCACAACAGCCAAAATTAAGAAAGATAATGCAGTTAACAATTTCCAAAGGTACTCTTAAGTGTACATGGAAAAAAAAAAACACCAAAAACCCTCAGTTCCAGAGTTCAAATTGTGAAAAATCAAGTTAACTGAACAAAGATGCTCTCTTCAATGCAATGAGGGTTTGAAAGTAACAATGGAGAAGCAGTCTTAATAAATATGATACAGATTTCAGCTTGCCATGACTTAGTATGATTTCCCAACCCCTGCTGCTAAGCTATTAACTTTGAAACAAATTCAAAGTGGATTTTCTAAACTAAAAGAGCAATAGATATAAATTTGTTACTGTCAAGCTAAATGAACACATAGGCTGATATTTATTTGAGTTTGTGTCAAAAGAAAAGAGTTACTAAAGTATTTTAGTAACAGTTTTGAAGCCAAGAACTGAGAGGAAATGCTCAGGCTTGAACTGGGTTTGGGGTAGGGATGGGGAGTTAAGTTCCTGGAAAGCAAAAATGTCTTAATAGAACAGTGAAACATTTGGTACATCTTAACAATTAATTATGAACTTCACAGTGAGAGCATTTTCAAAGGAATTCCTTTACCTGTAAATATTTTAGTGTTTTGTCTTCAGAAGAATGATGTAATACTTGGGATTTGAATCAAAAGTCAAATAAGGTGGAGATGGAGTAGGTAGTAGGTAAAACAAGACTGGCCATGTACTGACTATTGTTGAAGCTGGGTGATGAAAATATGGGGTTCAATTATACTATCTCTCGACTCCTGTGTATGCTTAAATTTACCCTAATAAAAGGTTTAAAAGAACAACCTTAAGGTAAACTTTTATTTAAATGTTTCAAAGTCCCCCTGTTGTATCATTTCAATCAAATACTACTAGATTTACATTATCTTGATCATCAAATGAACTCTTCCAAATATCAGTACAAAGGGTTTTCCCCTCTAGATTTTCCTTAGTTGTCCTACTGAAAAAAAAAAAAAAAAAAACAGATTCTGTGGGAACGGGTAAGCCCTACAGTGACACACTATGATTAAGCAGTGGTGATAAATCATTCAAATCAATACACTCTTCACAGAAACCGTAAAGGCAAACTGAAAAATGCAAATAGAGAAGTGAATAAGTATGTCACCTACCTTCCACAGTGGACACTCGAACAAGTCAAACAGACCCAGGGGCTTTTGTTGGACCGGCACACTAATAAAAAGAAAAATATAAAATATAGCAATTGTATCAGGTTAATTCCCAATTTCTCCTCTAATGTGTATTACCATATCCTATGATTAAGTTATAAATTCCATGGCAGCTTAGGTGGACTGAAAGCACAAATCCCTGCTTTGTGAGTGCATTTACACAAAATGGCTGCCTAATTAAAGTTACACTGAAAAGAATTTAAATGCACACACACAACAGCTGCTCCTTTTAATTGTTGACTCAACTCAAATAGTTTAATTACAAGTTAAACACATATTCACTTTTTTCCTTTATTATTTATTCTTTTCACCAGTCTCTGACAAGTGGAGTCTATTTTCTCATTAAAAGCACTTTTAAGTCTAATATTTAATCACACATTTTTGCCATGCAGATCATATACTGTTATAAATGACAACTCTCAGTTTATTCAGTGAGAGGCATAACCTAGGGATACAAATTAGAGACACTAAGCCCAATTCTCCCCAAATCAATGCCTCAGTTGCATAAAATGTAATTCTAAATATGACAACTGCATTTAATTCTTGCTGAGAGTGTAGTCACAACACTTATTTTTTTAGTTTTAAGTATAACGGGGTGGAGTGGACAAAAAGGGGTATGAATACTTTTTCATACCTCTTTAATGTTAATTATAAGTAATTCAACATTAATTACAATTTTGCTGGCTGTTTAATTATTCAATATTTTTAAAATCCCAATAAACATAACAATGATTTTCAAAAGGGAGGGAAGAGACATAAAAATCACCTGGAAAGCTTTTTCAAAACACGTATGTTCTACTGAGGCAGAGATATCTACTTTGGGGTGGGGGAAAAAAGGACAAAGAACATGTATTTTGAGAAAAGCAGCTTCCAGATGATCACCCCTTGAGAACCACTAGTTTGCCCCCTAGGGGCCTAACTCATGTTACGGTATATCCACTGTCTGGCACATAATATGTGCTCAATGAACATCTGTTGAAAGAAAGTTTAAATTTCTTAGTTTAAGATGCCAAGCTCTTCCAAAATCTGGTCCCTGCTTTCTTACTCTTGCCTTAACATATGTCATAACAAGCCTTTCTCATTGTTAAGAAAAATAAACCAAAACTGAGAATAAGGTGAATCAAGAACTGTAAACCCTCTGAATGTATAATGAAACATTTTTAATACGTTCTCCCAAAGATTTTTCATTATAGTACCATTGTTTGTCCTGCTGTTTACTATTGATTAGGACTCAAGTCAAGGTAAATTTGTAGATTTTTATTTGGTAGATATCATTTCTGCCCAGCAGAATCAAAAGGTTTTACTACCTTGTAAGACATTAACCAATTTTTTATCTAGCTTAGCAATTTATTTCAATGTTCTTTCTTCAGTGTCTACATACACTCAATTTCTCAAATGCTCTTGGAATCAGCTTTACCATCCTACTATTTCCCTAATAATGAATGACATAAATATATGACATACGGTCATTCCATATTTGTCTGGGAAGGGTGGAGTGCGCAAGGAAGAATAAAAGAGCACAGTGATATACTGACCGAGGGACTCGGTCTACCTGGGCAGCACAGGGCTCTAACTATTTTTGAATATGAAAGCATTGAGTAGTAAAATCCCCTTCCAGTTAGCCAAGGGCCATTTGCACATTTACATTAATTGCCAGGGCCATCCTAAAGGCACTTGAGTTTTGGACTCAGTGGGGTCCAATTTTGTTATATATTTATGTAAACTATATGACAGAAAGGCTAAGAAGACTATCTGCCAAACCACTAACAGTTACTGTAGGCAGGTACATGAGAAGACTGAGGGGAGACTGCTGGCTTTTCACTTGTACACCCCTGTGGTATTTGCTTTATATCGACAAGAAGATGATGTTTTTATAGTTTGGAAAGTAAGTCCTAAAAAATATACTTTTAAAAGAAAAATAAATTAGAAAACAGCCTACATGAAATGTATTCATGGTCTCAGATATAATTTGGAGAATTGAAAAACTACAGATATTATAGTTTTGTTCCTACAGCAAATGTTTTTTTCCTTCCTTAGTAAATAGTTAGAAACACTAACTCAGTCAGGGAAAAACTGCTGAAGTTTAGTATTATCCTGAAATAATTGTTATAATACTAAATTCAGGTCCACATTATTAACTATCTAGACTTTTCTTTTAAACTATGAAAGATTTTTTTCTTATTTTAAATGAAGGATAAAAATCTACAGCAAAGTCACTATTACTTTATTGTGTTTCCTACTGAGTGTTCCTTCCCTGCCCCCACTGTTGTAAATATACATATAATACATAAAATTTTATAATCTAATTGTTCCGCTATCAGTATTTTGAATGCATTTCTTCATGTTGAATTTAGAACAGTGTATTCTAAATCTAGCCTTATACTATCTAAATTACCTCATAAAGTTTTTTAATTGTTAGGTTTCTCAATTTCAAGATAACCTAAGGCTGAAAGGAGGAAGGAATGGGAAGTTACTGCTTAATCAGTATGGTGTTTATTTTGGGGTGATGAAAACATTTTTAAACTAGATAGAGGTGGTGGTTGTAGATTTAATGAAGAGTCACTGAATTGTTCACTTTTAAAAGGTTAACTTTATGTTATGTGAATCGCAGCTCAATAAAATAAATAGATAGGTATTTAAAACAAGGATGGGGAAAGACAATAAAAGAGAATACTGACTTTCAAAAACATTGGAAATAAGTAACTGTACCTTTTAATAAATCTCAGAAAAGACATCACATTCTGAATCAAGGTACCCAATTTCTCCTATCATAAATATTTACAATGAAAGAGTGAACACAGTGTATGATAGGACAGTTGGTCTTGGCTATTTAAAAGACAGTACTGTCTGAGGACTTAATATTCTTACACTAGAAAAATATTTGAAGGCCAGGAATCTACTAATAGAGACATGGTGAGGCATTCTAGAGCCATTTACTGCATTGCTTTGGGGAATATTCACTCTGTCTATACAAACCTTATCCAAATTAAGAACCTTTAATGTACCCAAGACAACCATAAAGTAGAATGAAAAATATTGGCTCTAATTAAACTAATTTTTAATTATTATGAATAGAACAGGTATGAATAAAACATACAAATAATATTAAAGTCATTTATTTTCATCACCTGAATGGGGAACATTTTAGAAGGTAGTCTCAATTTATAGACAGATAAGTTCAAAAGTTTGTCTGTAGAATGAACCCATTTCCCATGGGAACAGTAGTAGAGGCTTCCAGGCTCTTCTATAAAACTCTAAATAGGCCATAATATAACTGAATTTTTTTATATATATTGTACAATTACAGTCACTAAAATATTTTTAGCTGTCAATATACTATACTCAGCACAACATAAAAAATATTAAACTGGCCCTAGTTGATAAAGCTCAGTGGACTGAGCGCCAGCTTGTGAACCAAAGGAGCGCCAGTTCGATTCCCAGCGTAGGGCACTTGCCTGGGTTGCAGGCCAGGCCCCCAGCAGGGTGCGCGCGAAATGCAACTGCACATTGATGTTTCTCTCCCTCTCTTTCTCCCTCTCTTCCCCTCTCTAAAATAAATAAATAAACAAACAAATAAACAAGTAAAATCTTTTTTTTTAAAAATATCAAATGAAGTGCTTTTTTTAGTTTTTTAAATCTTAAATGCTAGTACTTGAGAGAATAAGTAATACGGATGTAAAGTCATAGAAGTTCAAAAAGGTAAGTATGAGAATTTATAAGGGCTCTTTTTATTATACATAATTACCCTTTCAAGATCATGTCAAGGCAAGGAAGTCATGCAGCATATTTCTCACCTATTACACTTGAACACAGCAGGGTCATTGGATCTCATAAATGCAGTCTTATCCTCTTTCACTCAGAGTATAAAATTTAAAGTTATTCTGTCCCCAAGCAATCTCTGTCATGTGCTTAGATTCTTCCAACCCCAAATTCAGCGTTCTTCTCTCAATCTCTGGACACCTCAGTCTGAAGGTAGGGACTAACTAGGCTCACTCCACTGTTCTCCCTTTGCTGTGGCTGCAGAACCTTCCTCTGGCCCAGTTCTCACCTCAGCCACAAGCTCTGCAAGTTGGAAGGAGAGGAAGTGGAGAATCTTGATCCTCTCCCACGGCTAGGGCAATTCTCAAGGTAGAAGCTGTTAACACATGCTGGGCAGGGGAGGGGGGTGGAGGAGCCCAGGACTCTACAACCTGCTCACACTCAGGTCTTCCTCTTAAAACACTCCCAAAACTTTAACCCTCCTGGGAACCAGGATGTGAGAATTTGGTGGGGCATAGAGGCAAAGGGAAGGCATCCAAGTGATCTAAAGATCAAAGTGGTTTTCCTCCCTACTAAACCTGGGAAAGGGAACCGTAGTCTCCTTTATCAAGAGATTAGGGCAGAAAACTAAGGGGTTCTGTGCTTAAAGGGGCCTACTTACACAGGAGTGTTTTCAGGCTGTATTCAGGAGACAAGGAATTCATAAGACAAAATGGCATCCACACCAAATATAACATTCTTTCCACATAACCACTTATCTTCAATATCCCTGCATTTACTACATAGAACTTAAAAATATAGAGCACATTTGATATTCAAAGCCTATCAACAATTCTCCTGGAAGTCTAAAAATTTTTTATAAAACATCATGCACTGATACTTACGATATAACATAGTTACTATCTCTACATGCAAAACAGTTCAAGCACACAGCACTAACAGGCAAGCCATTTATAGTATATCCATTATTCAATAGTTGCTGCAACTGGGTGAGAGGCCCTTTATCTTCTGAAGAATTCAAAAGATGAGGCTCCAATGACCAGGATTCTAGTCCTGGCTTTTCCATTACTAGCTATAGAACTGAGAACATCACTACTCTTATGGATCTATTTCTTCACTGTAAAATGAAGACTAGGTGATAAGCATGTCTCTTCTAATTATAAAATTATTCCAAGAACATAAGGCAAAAATTAGATGAAACAATCATGTCATCTTCCCCTTTAGATAAAATTCTTCCAACTCCAC